AGGCCAGGCCGAGCCAAGCCAAGACGAGCCAAGCCAAGCAGAGCCAAGCCAAGCCAAGCCAAGCCACACCTTTGCAAGGGGACCGGTCCGAGCCATACCTTTGCAAAAAAAAAACCTGGGCCCAAAACGAGGGTAAACCCTAAACCCTAAACCCTAAACCCCCTATAAGCCCAAGGTCCTACTGCTACTGCTCGCGGCCTGGGCGCCAACATGAACCCTGAAGCCTCAAACCCGGAGCCTGCGCCTAGAAGAGAGTTGAGGGTTGAGGGTTTAGGGTTTAGGGTTTAGGGTTTCGGGCGTAGGGTTTTGAAATGGTGCCTACACTTCCGGCGTTCAGGGTTTCGGGCTTAGAACAAGTCATGATATAGGTTCCTTTCCTTCCGTTCCTAAACCCTAAACCCTAAACCCTCAAGTCTAAACCCTGAATCCTAAACCCTAAACCCTAAACCCTTTCTTTAGGTCTGGAGGAATTTTTAAGCTGAGGTTGATAGCAGGGTTCAGGGTTTAGGGTTTTAGTGTTTAGTGTAACTGAAAAGTACCCACCCGCCCTGAGAATCCCACAGCACAGAGAAAATATGAAGTTTCATATCTTCTCTACACGCGACAAGACACACAACATCAACAATACGTTGGCTTAGAACCCTCAACTCTCGAGGTCCTGAACCCCAAGCCCTGGGCCCCGAACCCTAGGCCTTGAACCCTAAACCCGTGCCCTGAACCCAACACCCTGCGCCCTGAACCGTAAAAACTTGTCCTCCGCCTGCCCGTTCGAAATCTCAATAGGGTCGCTGCCCGAATGCTCGAAATCTAAAGTGCGAAAGTTGGTGGCGAAAAGAGGGCCGGCTGTTCAAAATCGTCGCAGGATTTAAATACATGAGGCAAGAGAGGGTTTAGGGGGCTCTGAGTTGCGTGGCTTGCTGTTGAGGAACCTAGACTAAATTACCAGAATGGGGTGATGTAGTAGATGATGTATGTCCTTAGTAGGGTAGTATAGCCTAAGTTGCTCTAAACCCTAAACCCTAAACGCTAAACCCTAAACCCTAAACCCTAAACCTCCGTTTAAAGGGTTCTGAAGTATGGGCCCTTGGGTGTTATCGGGTATAAACGGGGTATATAAGGGGTCCCATCTTAAGGGCCCATATTAAGGGACCATGTGCTTACCCTAAGAAGTAAGGGGGGGGGGGGGGGTTAGGCTGGGGTTGGCCTTAGAAACTTCTTAGGGTAAGCACATGGTCCCTTAATATGGGCCCTTAAGATGGGACCCCTTCTATACCCCTTTTATACCCCGATAACACCCAAGGGCCCATACTTAGGGTTTAGGGTTTAGGGTTTAGGGTTTAGGGTTGGTTTAGGATTTAGGGTTTGGGGTTTAGGGTTTGGGGTTTGGGGTTTAGGGTATATGAAGAGCCCATGCAACTACCTTTAGGAAACTAGACGTCCTAAAGGCACTTCGGGTCTTTCGGCACGCGGTATTCCGGGCAAGGTGCGCGATATTGCCGTTTTACAGAGCCTCTAAGCCCAAAGCCTCTTTAGGGTCTAAACCCCAAACCCTAAACCCTAGACCCTAAACCCGAAGCCCTAAACCCTAAACTCTAAACCCTAAACCCTAAACTCCTGTTTCATCCGCCGCAGCAGGGTCCATAGTCCAGAGGCACTTGTGCACCGAGCCAAGGCCGTCACGCCGGCAGAGACAAAGAGCTTAAACCCGCAGGTTATGGAGCCCTAAACCCTAAACCCTAAACCCTAAACCCTAAACCCTAAACCCTAAACCCTAAACCCTAAACCCTAAACCCTAAACCCTAGACCCTAGACCCTAGACCCTAAACCCCAAACCCCAAACCCCAAACCCAACCACCTCTCCCCCCCCCTCCAATTGCTCTTCCAGAGAAGCCCTAGAACCGAAGCCCTAAACCCTAAGCCCTAAACCCTAAACCCTAAACCCTAAGCATCCTCCAAAAGCATTTTGTTGACAGGAATCGGCTGGCACGCCTCAGCTGGCAAGCCAGAAAATCCTAGGGTTCACTACATAGATCGACATAGGGTTTAGGGTTTAGGGTTTAGAGTTTAGGGTTTAGGGTTTACGGTTTAGGGCTTTGGGTGTAGGGTAGCCTAAACCCAAAAGGGTTTAGGCTACCCTAAACCCAAAGCTCAGTCTAAGTGATTCAGTTAAGATAACTTGCAATGAGTTTGGTGGCCCTAAAAACATTTCACTTGGAGTGATGTGATGTAGGGTTGATTTGTATCCCCAAAAGAACACCCCATATATACACTCACCAAAATGAAACAGGAACCTTATATACACTGACCAATAATAGTAGTATAAACCCTGCTTCAATGTAGGGATTGGGCACTGTAAATCTGCACTGGCGCAGGAGCCCATAGGAGCAGCTACTGTAGCTGCTTGGTTGAAACTGCACGCGAATTTTACGCGGATCTCGTTGTCGCACTCTAAAGGATGTCGGGGGCTCCAAGCCCTAAACCCTAAACTCTAAAACCTAAACTCTAAACCCTAAACCCGAAACTCTAAACCTTAAACTCTAAGCCCTGGGTCTCTTCGGGCTTTCGTTGCTGGAGGGTTTTGGGGTTTAAGGCTTCGCGTTCCAAAGGCCGGCTCTGTCGGGTTTAGGGTTTAGGGTTTAGGGTTTAGGGTTTAGGGTTTAGGGTTTAGGGTTTAGGGTTTAGGGTTTAGGGTTTAGGGTTTAGGGTTTAGGGTTTAGGGTTTAGGGTTTAGGGTTTAGGGTTTAGGGTTTAGGTTTAGGGTTTAGTGTTTGCTGGAGGGCTTCAGGTTTTAGGGCCTTTGTTTGAAGCTCTGTGTGGCTTCGGGGCCTGGGGATGTTACGGTTTACAGTTCAGGGTTCAGGGTTTAGGGTTTAGGGTTTCGGTTTAGGGTTTAAGGTTTAAGGTTTAAGGTTTAGGGTTTAGGGTTCAGGGTTAAGGGTTTAGGGCTTAGGGTTTAGGGTTTAGGGTTTAGGGTTTAGGGTTTCGGGTTTAGGGTTTAGGGTTTAGGGCTTCTGGGCCGGGCTTGAGAGGGTGAAGGGCTTCAAGGGCTTAGGGTTGAGGGTCGAGGGCTTTTGGGGCGGGGCTTTAAGTCTGGAGCAGGGGCCTTAAGGTTGAAGGCCTGGGATGTACGATTTGAGGATCCCAATTGCAATCTTCATGCCAGACCCTAAACCCCAAACCTTAAACCCTAAACCCTGCACCCTAAACCCTAAACCCTAAACCCTAATTAAACCCTAAACCCTAAACCCAGCATTTTGGAGCAAAGGACTCGCACGACTCTTCGCGGTGAGCGAAGCGACGGGTATGGGCGCGCTGGAGGCCGGGTCGGCAAATCATGTCTCACGAGTGTAGAGTTTAGGGTTGAGGGTTAAGGGTTTAGGGTGTAGGGTTTAAGGTTTAGGGTTTAGGGTTTAGGGTTTAGGGTTTAGGGTTTAGGGTTTAGGGTTTAGGGTTTAGGGTTTAGGGTTTAGGGTTTAGGGTTTGGGTCCAGGGTTCAGGGTTCAGGGTTCAGGGTTCAGGGTTTGGGGCCCTCTATACTACCCCCTAGGTTCCCCCCATGACTACAAATTGCTTAAGAACCCGGAAAAGGTTCTAAAAAAAAATCTTCCTTATTAAGGGCAATATGGGGATTACTTTTTTTGGTACTGTATTCTTTTGGGGTTCTTAAGCAAATAGTGGATGACTTAGGCTATTTCGGGCTAATTAAGTCTGAGGAAGGAAGGGGGGAACCTAGGGGGGTAGTATAGAGGGCCCTAAACCCTGAACCCTAAACCCTAAACCCTAAACCCTAAACCCGGGGGAGCCCAGGAAGTATGGCACGGCAGACTACAATCCAAGGAAAGACGACGCCGACGCCGACCTGATGGGCAGCGCATCGCCGAATTTTCAAATGTTGGCCCTTGAGGTAGACACGTAGACCCTAAACCCTAAACCCTAAACCCTGAACCCTAAACCCTAAACCCTAAACCCTGGCCACTTGGCAAGGTCTTGGAGTTGTTCGGGGCTGGGGTTCGCGGCTGCAGGGTCGAGGGCTGAGAGTTTGGCATTGGGATCAGGGCTCAGGGTAACCCGAAACCCTAAACCCTAAACCCTAAACCCTAAACCCTAAATCCCAACTCAAGGGTCCTTCAAGATAAACACACATTGAAATACCGGGATTTAAATTTCGAGGGCGCGTCTCGGCCTCAGCCAATTGACCGCTTTTCTTGGCCCCTGAAGGGCCTGAGGTCTCACTCACGGCTTGAGGGTCTTGGGCTAAACCCTAAACCCTAAACCCCAAAACCCTACACCCCAAAACCCTAAACCCCAAACCTTCCTTAGAAGAAAAAGTTCGAAGCCTCCAGAGGCTGAGGCCGCTGCCAAAACACTCTCTCTCTCTCTCTCTCTCTCTCTCTCTCTCGCTCTCTCTGTCTCTCTCTCTCGCTAGGGTTTAGGGTTTAGGGTTTAGGTTTTAGAGTTTAGGTTTGCGGGTTTAGGGTTTAGGGTTTAAGGTTTAGGGTTTAGGGTCTTGCCCTCTCTCGCTCTCGCTCTCGGCTCGCAAGATGCTCCCCAGAAGGGCTCAGATCTTTGGCTTCGAGCTTCTTGCGGTTCAGGGGGTTTAGGGTTTAGGGTTTAGGGTTTAGGGTTTAGGGTTTAGGGGTTTAGGGTTTAGGGTTTAGGGTTTAGGGTTTAGGGTTTAGGGTTTAGGGTTTAGGGTTTAGGGTTTAGGGTTTAGGGTTTAGGGTTTAGTGTGAGACTTGAAGGTGTTGGTACTTGTATGATTAATGGCATCTTTCCTTTCGAAGTCTGTTGCAACTCACACTGGTCACCCCGAACCCAGTAGCCCAATCACTTTTCTCGTCAGGCCGAAGAAGACCGAAGGCATTTGGTCCGAATGGAAGAGAAAAGGGCGCCACGCCTCCCATCCGAGGCCGGACTTGGGAGGGCTTTTCCCTTAACTTCCCCTGTAGTCTCACATTGGTAGCGGAGCCTCGGCTCCTGTAGATCCTTTTGTGCCTGCCATGGCTGCTGCTAGCGAGCCCTCGGGGCAAGTTCATGATGATGTCCTGGACGGCCAGCCGCCGCCGGGATTCGAAAGTGAAGATAGGCGTTCAGACGCCCCGGAAAGGCCACCTGAACCTTCGTTCAGGTACAGCAGTCGGAAAGACGATAGTGAGACTGGCTCCAGCCGAGACACCGGAGCCAACGGCGACCCCGCCGACCGCATTCGCAGCAACACCACTCCTTCCGAGTGGGACGACTCCAGATGGGGCTGGGGACGAAGCCAGGAGACTCACTCTTGGGGAGAAGAGTGGGAAAGGCCTGGCGAACAGCAGAGTCGCCAGACAGACGCATGGGGACGACGAGCAAGCTGGGAGACCGGCATTAGCTTCAACAGTGGTGGCGATGATCGCCAAGCCTGGCGACCCGAAGATCCCTGGTCCCAGGGACGAGACCCCTGGTCAACCGGGAAGAATGATGGCTGGCATGGATGGGCTGCCGACGATGGGGCATGGCGAGTACCCCGAGCCGATCCCCAGGCAGATGGCCGAGCTGGACACGGGCGAGGAAACGATCATGCTGAAGACCAACGAGGACAATGGGTGAGCTGGAAGGCCGACTGCGGCCGCCCGACATGGCCTGGGGACTTCGATGTTGGGTTCCGGGCATACGAAGAGCGAGGCGGTGGACACCGCCCCGCTGGCCGTGCCTCCGAGAAGTTGAACGTTCCCTCGTTCACCGGAGAGGACATCGAGGACTTGGGGGGATCGGCGAGATCGTATCTTCGACAAGTGGAAGCGTGGAGGAGAATGACATACTTATCCACCTCTCAGCAAGGCTTGGTGCTGTACCAGAACCTCGGGGGCAAAGCTTGGATCGCGGCCGAGGAGCTGTCGGTCAAGACCCTCGCCTCCGACAAAGGCGTCGACTACCTGATCGCCTGGATCAATGCCCGCTTCTTGGACCTGGAGGTGGCGAGGATTGGTCGGGCCTTCTCCGACTTCTTCAGGCGCCTTCGCAGGAAGCCCAACCAGACGATCAGGGAGTACAACACCGAGTACGACAGGCTGCACGCGAGGCTGAGGGAGGTCGGGTGCTCTTTGCCGGAGGAGTGTGCCGCCTGGCTGTACCTGGACAGGATGCAGCTCGAGGAGGCTCAGGAGCTGAACTTGTTGGCAAGTGTGGGAAATTGCTACAGTCTCCATCGCCTTCAACAAGCAGCAGTGCTCCATGACAGGGGGCAGAGGAAGCCATGGGAAGGAAACCGACCCCGGAAACCTCACTCTGCCCACATCACCGACAACGCCGACGGTGGCCTTGGAGACGATGGTTCCCGCAGCGGCAGCGAGCTTGAAGACGGGGTCCCAGAGGATGTCGCCATCGCCTATGCCACCTACCAGAGCGCCAAGGAGAAGTATAAGGAGCAGACGAAGGCCAGAGGATATCAAGGCGACCGTGGAGAGAAGAGCAAGCAGAAAGGAGGGGACATGTCTCACGAAGAGAAGGTCAAGCTGATGAAGAGTCGTTCCTTCTGCTCGTCTTGTGGGAAGAAAGGACATTGGCATCGAGATCCCGAATGTCCTAACCATGGTCGTGGAGTTCGTGAAGTGTACCTGCCGAGGTGTTCGCCTTGAAGTATGAAGGGACAGGCCTCGTTGGGATCACGGACACGGCGTGTGCGAAGTCGGTGGCAGGAACAAGCTGGCTTCAGGCCTACAGCGACCAGATCGAGAAGATCCACAAGAAGCCAGAGCTCGTCAGAGAGTCAGAGGCCTTTCGGTTCGGCACTGGGAAGATCCACCACTCGTCCTTCCATGTCGTGATCAGCTTTAAGCTTGGTGCGAAGGTGGTGGAGCTGAAGACCTCTATCATCAATGGAGACGTACCGCTCCTTTTGTCAAAAGGGGCACTTGCCCAAATGGGCATGGTGTTTGACGTGGCCGCCAATTGCGCGGATTTCGGGGCTGTTGGGCTGAAGGCCTTCGAGCTCATCACCACATCATCGGGACATCCGGCTATCCCGATTGTTCCGGCCAGTCCAGCTCAATCGGCTGTCAGGCTGGTCATTTCCGACCACGATCCTTCGAGCAACGGGCAATACACGGCTTTTGCGGTTTCTGCTTTTAGCACTCTTCGTCCAAAGCCTGACCCCACTACAACTTCAGATTCGGTGCAGTGCTTCCCCACCGATAGCAAGGTCCAGCAGTACAGAATCTTCTATGACAAGAAGCTTAGTACGGAGGTAAAGGAGCTCCTTACCCAAGATCGCCTACCAGCACAGTCCTTTATCGCATGGTGGGGGCAAACGAAGATCACTTCGGATTTCTGGTTGGAAGGGGAGTTTGCTTGGCACAGGATCCATGTCACCCCAAGAAGAGCTCTTTGCAACCCCTCAACATGGAAGACCCAGTCGACACTCCAAAAGGACATGTTGATACGTTCCATCACAGACATGCGAATCACGGAGGGCTTCTGTTGTAAGTCCGGAAAGCCACTTGAAGTCGCAGCCGATAGGTGGAAGGATGACGCGTCGGAAGCTTCTTTCCCGCTGCTCTGGGTTGGCCGAAGTACTTTTGCCAAGCATAGCATGCCACGCCCTCCTGCCTCTGATCCGCATCGTGATGAGCGCTCCATGCCCCCCTACGAGTCGGCCGCCGGCGATCAACAAGATGTCGAAGACCCAACTTCTTGCCGAGTGCAATCGACTGGGACTGGTGGTGCATCACGGATGGAGTTGCCCGGAGATCAAAGCGGTGATCATGGAGGACAGGATGAACAAAGCCGAGTCGGAGCCGGGCTACATCATGAAGTCCATCGCCAAGCTCAACCTGCCCGAACTCAAGCAGAAGGCCGACTCCCTGAACGTGCAGTACCCCAGCAATGTGACGAAGGGAGCCCTCCTAAGACTGGTGCGCGAGTCCCTCAACACCCCAGCGACGGAGCTCATGCAGATCGGGAAGTTCCGGGGCTACGAGTTTGGGGAGATCCCGGACAGCTACGGGAGTTGGGCGCTAAAGGAGATCAAGATGAGCTCCAATGCACATCCGGAACTCGTCCGCTATGCACGATGGTGGGAGGAGAACCAGAAGAAGCGGTACTCCGGGACCGGAACATTCGAGGAGAATGCCATCGTGCCTTTCCCGTCCGACATGGCCTCGGACAGCGGAACGTCCTCGAGTTGGGGGGTGATCCACGACAGGACATCCGGGTCGGATATGCCGCATCCAGTGATGGCTCGGTCGCAGAAAAGAACCAAGGAGCAGAACGACGGCGAGAAGATGGAAGCAGAGTCCGATCCCCAAGCGCTCGAAGAGATCCAGGCCCTCGAGACCAAGCTGGCAATCCTCAAGGAGAAGGCAAAGACAGGGGGCAAGGGGCACAAAGGGGGATACTGAGGAATGAAAACACTTCGAGACCGGCCTCGCTCGAAAGGGCTTCCATCGATGCACCTCTTCATGACCACGGAGCGCTACGATTGCAGGCTGAAAGTGATCCCCGACATGACCTTCTTCATCATGAAGATCTTCCTCGAGGTCATGTACCCAAGGAAAAGGGAGCCGGTGAAGAGATCTATGAGCACGAGGGCAGCCATTTTGGAAGTAAGACCTCCGTGCAGAAGGGCGGCTGTTGCGGCCGCGATGATCCGACTACCCACAGCGGACACTTCATCTCCCAAGAGGACCTTCGCAGAGGGTTGGAGAAACAGTCCATAAACTATGCCTGCCAGGCCGCCAATGCCCACGAAGCAGATGCCTTTGAGGGAGCCCTCGCGGAGGGCGACTTCTCCTTCGTGAAACTCGAGCAGCTCCTCCGAGGCATCGGGATATCCGAGAAGAACAATGGCAGGCCCGGCCTGCATGGGCATGAAGGTGTTCCCATGAAGTACCACACCTTTGGGCTGTTCAGTCATGGTGGAGTGTTCGGAGTGACCAACAACACGAAGAATTACAGCAGCGTCGTGAAGTATGTGAATGCCTTTGGCAGACACCACCTCGGGCCGAAAGCCAAGTGGACCTCGGTGACCCTTACTCACGACGCCGGAGCCGAGGTGCATCACGACTACAACAACCTGCGCGACACCAGCAGCTATGTCGTGTCGTTGGGACAAGACGCTGGAGGGGGCTTGTGGGTGGAAGACCGAAAGGTCAAAGAGGAGGACATTGAGCATGGGACGGTCAAATGGCGACGACTACCTAACGGACGATGGCTCCCCGGGCGGATCGTCGACACCAAGGAGAACTTCTACGAGCTGGACCCCTTCCTCAAGCATGCAGTTGAGCCGTGGACTGGAACGAGATGGTCGCTAGTCTTCCACACCACCAGGAACTTTGTCAAGATCGGCCGAGAACTCCGGTCGTTCCTCAAGGGGTGTGGTTTTCCCCTTCCCGGGCGAGTGAACTCAACCCACAAGACCGACCTCGTTATCGATGATGAGAAGAGCAAGAAGCCCGGAAAGGTGACCCGGCGAACAATCTTCAACAATGCGGCGAAGATCAGTGTCATGATTGCGACCCTCATCTCGGCAGCTACCTCCTACATGGCCACCTACACATTGCCCGAGGTAGAGGCGGCCCCCATTGTGATCTTTGAGATCGGAAGCACCGAGGCCACCGAAGAGGCGGTTGCCCTTGGCAAGGATGTATTCGAACCTATGGATTGGGAGACGTTCGCTTCACCAGAAGGGAAGGGCACCGCGCATCACATCATCCACGGGGCTTCTCCGAAGGAGCTCAAGGTCGCATTGGGTGGGAAGCCAGACAGCTGCAATGAGGCACTCCTCGAGTTGATCGAGCAACAACTTCATGAAGGCGGGGCAGTCGTCGTCGAAGGCGAAACGTCCGACTCTCTGTTCCTGGACGAGAAGTTCCAGGGGATTCTTGAGAACCACACCCAGTATGTAACCCAATCGGACTTGGCGAAGCAGGTGGTGATGTACAAGTCTCGACCAGATCGACTACCTGTGCGTGGACAAAACAGAGTGCATCATGTATGTGCAGTTGAGCAAGTACAGCAGCACCGGCAAGGAAGAGACGAGGTCGTCATGGATGGAAGCGGCATCGTCTTCGGGGAAGGCACCCCGCCGAGAGTGGCATCGGCCCTTAGGAGATTGCACCAGAATTTGGGTCATCCTCGTCAAGCTGATCTCATCCGACACCTTCGCCTAGCGGGTTGCGACAACGAGATTCTCAAAGGGGCTAGGTCCCTCAGATGCCAGGTCTGCGACGCCAATGTCGCCCCGCGAATTGCTCGCCCGAGTGTGGTCCCGCAGCTGTGCGACTGGAACGACACGGTTGGGGTAGACATTTTCTATGCTCATGACATCGACGACAAGAAGCACACCTTTCTGTCCGTCGTCGATTACGGAACCACCCTTCATCAGGTCGTCCGTGTCGATGGCCAGTCTTCCGACGACATCGAGGGCAAGTTCAACGAGCTGTGGATACTGCCCTATGGTCCTCCTAAGGTGGTCGTTGCCGACCTAGACGGGGGGGTCCAAGGGGCGATCGGCCGGCTTTGTGAGTGGCACAACATTGGCATGAGGAGCATCGCCGCGCAGAGTCATTGGCAAGCTGGCATGGTGGAACGACAACAGGCCTGGTGGAAGAATATCTGGGAGAAGCTCGTGTACCAGCTTAGCATCGGCGAGGAAGAAGTCGACATAGCAGTCCCCATCGTCAATGGAGCAAAGAACGACCTCCGGCGTCGATGTGGACATAGTCCATCGCAATGGGTGTTCGGACGAGCTCCTCGACTACCCGAAGACTTGCAAGACCCCGACGGCGGCAACTTCGTCACCTGGGATGTTAGCGAGGATTCGAGGTTCCAGAGGCAGTCCGCTATGCGGGCGGCAGCTCGAGTGGCTTTCCATCAAAGCCAAGTGGACAGCAGGCTCAGGAAGGCTCTCTTGCAAAGAACTCGCACGACGCCCCGCCCCATCGAGATCGGAGAGAGTGTTCACTTCTGGCACAAACCCAAGAATCGTCGTCGAGGACAATGGACTGGGCCAGCAGTGGTTGTTGGCAAAGAGGGCAACAATTACTGGATCTCCAACAATGGGAGGTGCAGATTGACTTCGCCCGAGCACATCAGGGGGTCCACTCCCGAGGAGGTAGGTGCCTTCTTGGCCATGAAGGGCACACAGCAGGAAGTCGAGAAGCTCCTCGAGTACGACCCAGATGGAGATGAGGCCTTTGAGGATGATGATGACCTCATATCCGACTACGTGCCCGACGACCTCGAAATGGCAGACCCCGACGACGAAGGCCCTGTTCTCGAACCTGGTTTGGAAGAACAACCGTCGCCCTTGCCAAGTAGGAGGCTCAAGCGAAAGACCGCAGTTGCCGAGCTCGAGACCGCGGAGCACGAAGCCATGATGTTGAGAAGCGACCTCACTCGAAGGGGCGTTGAGAAGCGAAAGGAGAAGGAGCTCAAGTGGAACGAAATCCCACAAGAGGTACACGACAAGTTCCTTCACGCAGAAAGAGTCCAGTGGGAGGAGCACTTGAGCTATGATGCACTACAACCGCTGACGACATCAGAAAGTGAGCGAGCCAGGCAGCAAGTGCCGGCGGAAAGAATCCTTCGGTGCCGATGGGCCTACAAGGACAAGAACTACTCCAAGCGAAGGGAAGGGGGCGGAGACATTCCCTGGAAGTGCAAGTCGAGGCTAGTTATAGCCGGCCACACAGACCCAGACCTTGGATCCGAGTTCTTGTCTACCGACGCCCCTACCCTGTCGCGATGTGGCCTGGCTTGCTTACTTCAATTGGCAGCCTGTGGACTTGGAGACAGCGATCCGTGGTCGCTTTCTGCAGGTGACATCAAGTGTGCCTTCCTCACCGGCAGCTATCTCACAAGGGAGCTCTACATGCACCAGCCGAAGACAGGGTTCCCCGGAATGCTGCCGGGACAGCTGGTGAAGATCAAGAAGAATGTGTTTGGCCTCGCCACTAGTCCTCACGAGTGGTGGGGAGACCTACAGGAAGGGTTCAAGGGGTGCTCCATCGTCGACGAAGCCGGCAGGGAGTTGCGCTTCGACCAATGCGCTCTCGATCCTTGCATCTTTGTGCTGAGGGAATGGAAAAACGGACACTTTACTGGCCCTCCCGCTGCATACGTTGGTTGCCATGTCGACGATCTACTGGTAGTCGCACCGAGATCCCTGAAGAAGAAGATCGAAGAAGCTCTATCGGCAGCGTTTCCCATAGACAGCTGGGAAGAAGACGCCTTCGAATTCTTGGGGGCCCTCATCATCGTGCACTCCGACAAGGTGATGGTCTCACAGGAAAAGTATGCTGCCACCAGACTCTTCAATCTGGATATCCCCATCAAGGCGAAGGACGAAGACGAGGCCGATAAGGAGCTCCAATCGGACAACAGATCGCTGATTGGAGCCCTCTCCTGGCTCTCTGCCCAGAGTCGCCCGGACTTGACATGCTCAGTCAGCATGGCGCAACAATTGCAGAAATCCCCGACGATTGGAGACCTCCGGTTCACCAATGCTATCGCAGCAAAGGCTCAGCAGTTCAAGCAGCACGGGCTCATCTTCAAGCCCATTCAGAGAGACAGGATGATGTTCGTGGTCTTTCACGATGCTGCTTGGGCGAACGTTCCGGAGCCCGACCCCCAGGAGGACTACTACGTGCTCACCGCCGAGGACAATCTTGCCGGGCTTCAGGATGAGGGGCCCTACAAGAACAAAGAAGAGGGGCGTAAGGCTAAGAAAGGCAACTCTCGGGTAGCCTCTCAGATCGGAGTCCTGGTCACCTTCGTCGACAAGGGGTCCCTCAACGGCAACCCCGGGAACTTCAGCATAGCCGACTGGAAGTCAAGGGCAGGTCAGAGGGTGTGCCGCAGTACGTTTGGGGCCGAAACACAGGCCTGTGCAGAGGGGCTTGAGACGGGCCAGTACATTCGCTCGATGTGGGAATCGCTCATCTCTGGCGAGTTGGTCACCGTCGAGAACGCCATCACCCCGATCCTCTGCCTGAGCGATTGTAGGTCCCTGTATGATCACTTGAACAAGCAAGGGGTACCTCGTGTCCCAACCGACAAGAGGTTGGCTGTAGATCTAGCTGCCCTTAGGCAGGCCCTGAGATCCGAGATGTGGAGCGAAGATTTGCCGATAGGGTGGATCCCCGGGAGTACCCAGAAGGGAGATATCCTCACGAAGCCGCAGAGTCCCGCCGAATGGTGGGAAGGCATGCAACAACCACTCGTCTTGCCTTTGGCGCATGGGCGAGGGGGGGCTCTGATCGGCAACAGGAAGATCAGACACAGAACCAGTGTGAGACTTGAAGGTGTTGGTACTTGTATGATTAATGGCATCTTTCCTTTCGAAGTCTGTTGCAACTCACACTGGTCACCCCGAACCCAGTAGCCCAATCAGTTTTCTCGTCAGGCCGAAGAAGACCGAAGGCATTTGGTCCGAATGGAAGAGAAAAGGGCGCCACGCCTCCCATCCGAGGCCGGACGTGGGAGGGCTTTTCCCTTAACTTCCCCTGTAGTCTCACATTTAGGGTTTGGGAGGGGGACGCTGTGGACGCTTGTCTGTTGTAGAGTTGTGGCTATTGTTTTACATGTTTTTTTTGTGCGTGTGTATCACCCAGATGCCAAGTCACAACCAGTTGCAGCCGAGGTACCTTGGATGCATAAGCATAAAAAGACTAACAGGAAGGACGTCACACTATATATATATATATACGTGTAAGCTCAGCCGACCCACCCTCAGGAGCACAGGTCTTTTTCATTTTGCTTTGCCCCAGCTACTCACAGTGAGGAAATCTATATCCTCGGGATGTCCCCATTACTCCGATCATCGACGCTACAGTGACGCTACCTGACGACAGCTTACAGACTACTCCTTACTGGATACGCACAAGGCGGTGCGACGATGGGAGAAGATTGGATTACGATCACAGGATACGCAGAAGGTGGTGCGACGATGGGAGAAGACTGGATTACGATCTCTTCAAGATCGACGGTCTTTTCAAGACCTTACGAGCGGCCGGCTTCTTGAGGACACGCTTCGCACGCCCCAGCACATTCGTCCTCTTATTAATCCGTACTGGCACGGACTGCAAGTTGGAGTTATAGAATGTGCCCATCTCCTCCATCCAGAAGATGTGCGAGAGTGGTCTCAGGCTATTCAAGAAAAAATTGAGGCTTCTCACCCAGGCGTTCACACTCTCTGAGACGTTCGTTCTAACGCTCTTACACCGGCGCTTTTCCGCGGTGGACCAGACGCATTTATCACACGTGTGGTTGGGACAATGAAATGCATCAATCACCCAAAACTTAATCCCGGCGAATGCCTCAGCGTGGTGCTTCGTGACAAAGGGCTGGAAGTGGCAGATGTCATCATGGATCAGAAGATCCGCGTGGATGCCCGGCATATGCATCACAGTCTTGAGGAGACGAACCTTATCCTTGTTGCACTCGTTCTGTATGTGCTCCACCGCCCCCAAGATGCGCCTCGAATCGGGATCAACGGCAAAGTGCCACCCCGCCGTCCGCTGAGGTAGGACAAGACGTTTTGCGTCCTTCCTTCTGCATGAGCAGCTCCGCTCATCTTCCCGCAACACCTTCTGCCGAGGATAGCCTTTGAGCTTGGTGTCACGAGGGGCGTCCCACTTGGACAATGTGCGATGGATACCAAAGTGGCCATCAAAGGAAATAGCATTGACTGCATCTGGGCATGGCAACGTGATGACCTTTCCAACCTTGGTAACTGCGCTCGCTGGATAGCTCATGTTGAACTGAACCGCAACCGACGGAGTACGTTTGGCAACGGCGTAGGCTTCTAGAGCGTGCAGCAAGAACTCACGAAGTCGTCGGGATGTAGGCATCCTGGTATCCTCAGAGTGGTAGATGTGTAGGATAGAGCTTTCCTGCCCAGGTGCAAGCTTACCACGAAGGAGGCGAATGTATGTCATCTCCAGGTACGAGAAGCTGAAGGCGGTCTTGGAAGTGATGAACAGTGCCCCACACTGTTTCATTTCATCCAGTGACATGCAGTTCAGTGTCTCCTTACCGACGGTCACGAGGTTGTAGCGCGTGGTGTTTCTACAGCGATTGCAGACCTTGGGATATGTTTTCACATCGGTTATGGTCTCACCTCCCAAAAGAACCGCACAAACTGCTTTGTCCTTTCTGGTGTACAGCCTCATGCCACACACGGGGCAGTCGTCCCCCGGGTAGATGTACTCCTTGATATTCGTGACATCCTTCATGGAAGACGTAGAATGAGAGGAACCGGACGATGCGGACGGGCGCCGCATGGAGCTTACACTGGCTGGACGTTTCATGGCGACGGGAACTACGACGCTCTCACTACTTACACTCTCATATGCTGCGAAATGAACAGGTCGCCTCATGTACACCGCATGCATTAGTGCAAGCGCTGGATATAGAAATGGAATTCTGCAGGCACACACTGAGTTTCCTCATCGTTCTGCTGTGCTCGCGTGCGTTGCCTCGGTATGTGTCTTATATCCTGCGCCGGCCTGACTCACTGTTCTGGTTCTCAGTCGTGAAGAGCACGTGCCGCCTCTTCATCTGGATCGTCCTCCTCCGTGTTCGGCTCCTTGATGTCGGTAGATGAGGCTGAAGCCGTGCCATGGTTACCCGCATCTGACTCCGCCATGGGAGGGGGCAAGGATGTTTTCCCGGTCAGACGCCGCTTAGCACCGGGGATGTTGAAGGTACCAAGGCGCCGAGGTGGCTTCACGCATGCGACGGGTAAAGCCGCTGGGTCTGGTACGGGCACTCTACTCTCCTCATCGCTGGAGAAAGAAGGGGGAAGAAGCACTGCAGTGGCTGCCAAAGTCGCTTCCCGGTTCTTTGTAGCAATGGTATCGTTGATCTCCTGAATATAGAGCTCAGGGCGGCCCGCAAGGTGCATGCCACGCATATCCTGGTCAATCAAGGCTTGCTCCCACTCGATGTCTTCTGCATGGGTGGGTGGTAGCTCATGTACGCCGGTCTTGTACTTTGCATAAAAGGCCTTGTCCCTGTCCATGAAGAGATCCTCGTGTAGGTTCTCGTCATGGAGGCGATGTACGACTGCATCATGATCCTGACTGGGCAGGCGAAGATAGAAGGAGTGCTTCCCGAACACCATGACGACACACCTTTTAAGGATTGCCATCACATCTGCCTCCTTGTAGCCTTGGAACATTTTCTTGACGAGGGTAAAGAACTCTGTGGGCTCGATGGTAGTACGCCGGCGATCTCTCGGAGGCTCCTGCTCCTCCTCCAGGTCATTGGATGAGACAGCACGTAAGGTATTTCGAACAAGCTTCACGTCGGTATACCGACTCGAGCAGTTCTGATCCTCCTCAGCTGTAAGCCAGCTTTTGAGATCAGCGGCGTCGATGCGATCCATGGAGGGGTCGTCCAGGATAAGACCCTCATACACCTGGCCAGTCTTATGGCGAAAGTTGTCCATTGATTTTGCTCGCCTCCAAGCTGCCACCGCATTCTCCAAGCCCATTCGCTGGATTTGGTATCGTCCGAGAGCTAGACTCAGTGCGATCAAGAACGGGGTCTTTCCGACGCCAGGCCAGCCGATGGTGACGATGCCAAATGATGTCAGCAATGGGGCAAGCATGGGGAATAGGAATTCACTCATCAGAGGCTTCATGCTCTTCAGAGTGAAAGGGAAGAAAGTCATCGACGTTGCTCCCGTTGTGGCCCTCGACTTGTTTTGGGCCATTCGAATCACCTTGGTTTCTGGCCACCCCGAAATCGGGGAGCCACTATCCGCCTGGATCTTCGTCAGGATCCAGAGGTATTGTTGGTTTTTCGAATCATCGTCCGGGGCCTCCCTGTTGATGTATTCAACACCCGTGCGGAGTTCATCTTCATCAGGGCACCATACGTCGGATCTGGAGCGTTTCATGTCCTTGTCTTTTGCTTCCAGAGACCACCATTTCACATGATGACCCGGCAATCTATCCAGCAGTGAGTAGATTGCCTTCAACCATGCCCAGGGCCCATTTCGGCTGGCCGGGATAGCAAAGTGGCCTGCGCAGATATTTCGTGCCTTTTGAACTGCGACTCTCTCAGCGAACTTGAAGACACGAAGGACGTTCATGGTGCCATCTTGGTTGTTAACGATGATATAGGACAAGACACACCCGTTCGGTAGGTCTGCTGGAGGCCGCAAATGGGGAGGAAGACCTTCATACTCGAGACGGGCCAATTGAGTACATAGAGCACTGAGGTTACCCATTTCTGGGATTGCGTAGTGGAAGTCGAACATCAAGGTGCAATACCGGGCGACGTCATTGCGGCACACATACTTCTCAAAGGCAGACATGGACAAATCACATCCTGGGTCGTCTGGTGATTTCTTGACGTATGACGGCTCGTTCAGGTCCTTGATCGCCCACTCCTTGGAGCCGTGCTTGGCCATCGCCTGATCGATAAGTCTTGTGAGTGAATCCATGCTGCTGACGAATGCAGGCGAGAAGGACTACTACACGGCACGACGCTACAGACGAACTTGATACCGAGGTGACAGCAGAATATATGTGGGACTAGAGCATGTGAGTATATGCACAAGGTGCTCGGTCACTGCATATCGCTCAGGCCTTTTTTTCCTTGTAGTAGTGCACCGTTTGCGTAATCCGCAAGATTGCTATGTGCTTGGCCTACATATTCAGTCCGAGTGTATCATTGGCTAGATACAAGTCCCTCGTAACCTCTTCGAGGTCGCTCTGGAGTGTAAGGATGCGGCGCCTCAGTTCGGCCTTAGGCGTCGACGAGGAAGAGGAGCTTGAGGAAGACGAAGACGGCGAACTACTCTTATTCGTAACCTCAGCCACATCGTCCTTCACATCCTGGTGGGACTTGTTGTCATTCACGCCGTTTTTGGACTTCTTGCTGTGCGTGTTTCCTGAGTTGTCCACATTGTCGTTGTCAACATGTGGGCGCTTGTGGGTGACATCCTCACTGACAGCTGTCTCATGGCCAGCGTTGCCGACGACAAGGATAGGCGGTTCTTCCGGGCAGGCATCCATTGATGCCATTGCTGGGTTGATGATTTCTTCACCGTTCGTGATGGATGCAACTGCTGGGTTGGTGATCTCTTCACCGTTCGTAATGGCCTGTCCCTTCGTAACTGTAGCACGACCATTTGCAAGTCGTTTTGGCTTGGAGAGAGTTGTCAGCAGGCTCTCTTGAGCTGCAGAGGACCATATTTGATTGGATCCACGAAACTGCATTTTCGTCTTGACGTTGTTGATCAAGACTTGAATCTGCTGTATGGACACGGGCACGCGCGTAGGATGGCAAGGTACTTCTCCCTGACGGATCGACTCGACAAGCTCTGCAGCATTGGGTGGTTGATCATGTGGGTTCCCGTCACGACGCCCTGGAGCTGGATGTGTAGGCTCCAGCGCCAGCATGACTCTTTCTCCATCAAACACTGCATCACCGATTACTTTGATGGACTGCATGATGCAGGCCGGTCTACAGGAATGTGAAGGATAATAAGCTTGCTCGAGCTGAGACAGTCAAGATAGATGGCGCATGACTGCAAATGATTCTGCATATACATGGCACACACCCAAATGCTCACCAAAAGATGTCAGCAATGGGACACGCGTTCGGAATCAGAACTCACTCATCAAGGATTTCATACTCATTCAGATATTTTAGCTGGATTTACTGGAAGCTATGTATACATAAATATATAGATATACACATATATTTGCACATGTATCCGCAAGCCAAGTCTCGCCAATCTGCAGCCGAGATACCTCAGGGCGATAGCGGCCCTACTCTAAGGTTCAGTTTAGGGGTTCAATAAAATACTTTATTTCATACAGACAGGCCCCCAATTATTAATAATATTAATAATCCGGGCCCTGCTCGTAAGAATAAGATTGCCTCAGGGAATTTCTTCCGAGCATCTCCCCTCGCCACCACCCATTATTAATAATATTAATAATGGTGTGTGGTGAGGAGGGTGCTCGGAAGAAATTCCCTGGGGCAATCTTATTCTTACGAGCAGGCCCCCAATTATTAATAATATTAATAATCCTGGCCCTGCTCGTACGAATAAGATTGCCTCAGGGAAGTTCTTCCGAGCATCTCCCCTCGCCACCACCCATTATTAATAATATTAATAATGGTGGGTGGTGAGGAGGGTGCTCGGAAGAAATTCCCTGGGGCAATCTTATTCTTACGAGCAGGCCCCCAATTATTAATAATATTAATAATTGGGGTGGGCTGTTCAAAAATAACGCTGTGGACGCTTGTATGTAACACAAGAAACAAGCGTCCACAGCGTCCTCTCCTGTAGGGTTTAGGGTTTAGGGTTTAGGGTTTAGGGTTTAGGGTTTAGGGTTTAGGGTTTAGGGTTTAGGGAGGGGGTCTATCTCTGTTTTGGCTTCTTCCTCAATGTCTTGGTTGTCCAGTAACCTGGGGGACTTCGGGATTATAAGGGGATTATACCAACCCAAAAAGGTTACGGGCTACCTACTCTAGTACTAGGATGTTCATGTCCCGCTAAGGGCCCATGATTTTGATCAAGCCCATGAAGGATTGAGGGCTCGAGCAAGATGAAGAAGGCGGGTTGCATGGACCCTAAACCCTATAAACCCTATAAACCCTATAAACCCCGTAAACCCTATAAGCCCTATAAACGCTAGAAACCCTAGAAACCCCATAAACCCGTTTAACCCCATACAAACCCTGTAAACCCTGTAAACCCCACAAACCCCAGAAACCCCAGAAACCCGATGAACCCTACAAACCCTGTAAACCCTGTGAACCCAATAAACCTTGGAGAGCAGGGCCAGTTCTTTGACTTCGCCGAGGTGAGCTTGGGGAGTTTTGGGCCGGACTTACCGCCGGGAGGAGGGGAAGGGGCTGCAGCTGGTGGAGGGCTTAGGGTCTTAGGGATTTAGGGTCTTACGCCTTTAGGGTCTTGGGGCTTTAGGGCTTTAGGGTTTAGGGTTTTAGGGCTTCAGGGTCTTCTGGGTCTTTAGGGCTGCAGGGCTTGGGTTTTAGGAACTTCAGGGTCTGAGGGTTTTGGGGCTTTCGGGTCTCAGGGCTTTCAGGGTTTTGTTCTTAGGGCATCGGACCCTTCAACTGTAGTTCAGGCTTGCAGTCCTCGATCAGGGAACATCTTGCAACGTATTGTCGACCAGATATCTACAAGCTAAATGGCCATGGCCAGTTGCCCAAATGGAGCTGTCGCTTGGGGCGAACAACGGTGGCTGCTTGCAAACAGGGGCCCGAAACCCCTAAACCCTAAACCCTAAACCCTAAACCCTATACCCCGCAAGGGACCATC